TCAGGACAGCTTATTTCCCCTTATGGTGTCACAAGGGGAAATAAGCCATAGTGGTGGAGAAAGGTAATTATAAAGGCAAAAGGGTTTTTCCAAGTCTTCTCTATACCATGTATTATTTCTGCCCAGCCAGTGAAAGGTGGCAACTGATGTGTTTAAATAATTGGTAGCACAGGGAACAACACAGACCCTCACCATGATGATACCACCACCATATTTGTAAATCATTACAACTTTTTGTGCTTGAAAGTTTACATACCCTCCCATCCATCCTCTCCCTCTTATTCCGTCAGGGTTAGGGTGGGGCCGGTGCCTATCCGTGGGCGAGAGGTGGGGTACACCCTTTACAGGTCACCAGACACTCGTAGAGCAACACAAAGACACACAACCATGCACCCACACATAGTTGTATTTTCATGACTTATGGGGACATTTCATTGACTTACATTCATTTTATATGGCATAAACCTAACCCTAACCTGAACTCAAAGAACAAAACTTTACCATATGGGGACCCAGCTTTTGGTCCCCATAAGGACATGACTGACAGTGTAAACAGTTTAAAGTCCTCACATCATGGTAAAAACAAATCCACACACACACTCTCTAAACACACTTTTGAGATGACAATTAACCGTCATGTTTTTAGACTATAGTAGGAAGCTGGAGTACCCTGGAAATAAACCACTCATGCATGGGGAGAAAATGCAAACCATGTCGAAAGACCCCAGGCCAGGAATAAAACCCGGAATCTTCTTGCTGCAAGGATACAGTGCTACCCACTGGTCCAGTGTCCAGCCCACATACCGTTCCATTAAGGTAAATCATGAATTCCCATTAGTAATTCAAATAAAACAAAACTGAAAAAGGTAATAATAATATAAAAAAAGTAAAAGATAATGTAGTACATTTAAACAATGATTTTTATTTTTTGTAAAAACGAAACAATTGAAAAAATCAAACTGTCCGAGACAGATTAAAGCATCTTGCTAATGAACAGTGAACCAATATACCTGTCAACAGGCGAAGAAATCTTAATTAAAATGTCCTTAATGTTACAGAAAATATTGTTGCTTGTAGTAGCATAAAACCTGCTGCAGCATAAAACTTGCTGCATGTGCCTGCAGAAACTTTAGCCTTTAGCCAAATCAATAAAACAACCTGACGCAAAGACAGCCCTGCTGGTTTTATCTGTAACTGGGTTTAAAAGGACAGGTGCATGTTGCTTCGCAAACATTTCAATTTATTACTTTATACTACATTTGTTTTTTTAAATCACATGTTTGATCGATGACACCAATGAGACATTTTTAGAATACAATACCCTACAATTTAGAATACATCTTTGAATACAGTAAGTATTCAAGTCAGAAGATGAAGCAGCAATGGATGAAAAGAGAGACACAGTTCCAGGACAAGTCTCGTTCACACTCCAACGCCGAATGTTTTGGTTTAGTACCTTGTCTGTGTACGTCTGTGATTTAACAGCTTTCGTCTGTGACCTTCAGAGGAAACTACAAGACGTCATTCATGTGGGTATTTAACCCACGGCACAACTGCCCGCTCAAAATGACTGGATAGAGCTGTTTATTCACAAGAAACTGCTCCACAACGACGTGTTTCATCCAGAATGTCTGCACAGCCTCATTTTAAATGCTTTACCCCATTTGTTTTTTTTTTAAACGCTCTCGGTTTGTCATTTTTAGGATAGTTTTAAAGCCATTAAGGGAAAACAAGTGGGAAACAAGGACAGAAACAATAAAAATCCTTGAAAACATTGATGAAGCATCTATTGAGAAACACTTGATGTGAAATATGCTGAAAATATCGCTTCCCTCTTCTTTAAGACTATTTATTTGTGGGATATAAACTTAATTTCTTAAGTAGAAGGCAAGGAGACTTCTGTTGTTCTCTGAAGACATTTTAACTCTAATTCAAAAGGCGTTTTTAGAGTAAGAGGTTCCGGTAAGAGGTTTAAACAATGCTTTTTGCATTTCAGGTCATCTTGTCTACTATTATCTGGAAAATATGGGGTGTTAGTTTCCTTGTATTTTGCACCACTAGCTTTAAACAGTCCAGTTATTCAAATAATTTGTTTTAAAGAGACAACCAGCCAGGTACCACAGGATAAATCTTACGCAATCACCTCAATCACTAAGGTTCCCATGTTTAGATATATAAATTGACCTTGTCTAAATAGAAACAAGCAACAATAACACAGTTTAAATGTTTTAGAACTTATTACTAATCAAGAAGTATTTTATTGTTGGTAATATGACTTTCTGCACGGGGCGCTACAGGGTGTCAGGCTGAGGATGCAGCTTCACTTCTATAAGAAAGGGGAGATTACAGAGGTTCTTCTTGTCAATTTATAACATTTCTTTTATGATAACACAAAAGAAAAACAACATACGATTTAAAAAAACATATCACCATGTACATCCTGGCAGACAAATGGCACATGGTCCCTCACCACTCTATAAACAAGCACAAGTAAGAAGCAATTGGGAGATCAGCAAAGGGAAACCAAGGGAAGAGTATTTAACTGATTTCCAACCATACGAGACCAGGCAGGAAGTACTCATAAATGATGTTTTATATAGTGAGCAATATTCTCCTATAATGACTATAGGGGCTTGTATTGGTTCTAAAGAGCTGAGGGCAATTTTCTTTTATAGAGACAGTGGAACACAGTTTTAGGTTATCTAAAAAGGTGAGAGGACCTTTAAAATTAAAGTAACAATATGGTAAAACCTGGAAGTTAGCTGATATAGTTTTAATTTGCAGGCTGGGATACACCAGGTGAATTGGAATATTGGGTATGAAGGCTGCAGCAGCAGTTCTAGACCAAATTTACCAGGAGGCCAGGCTGGGGCCAGTGCTTTTTTAATGAGGACACAGAAAAAGGAAACATAAAACAAGAAAAAAAAGGAAAAAAATCATTAAATCACTAATCACTAAAGAGCCACTTGTTATAAAGGAGAGCCCAGAATTTCCTAATGATAATTAAATATGAAACCGATCTTAACCAACGATTATGTCTACCTTTAAAAAGGTCTAAAAATCAGTTGTTATTAATACTCTAAACCTTTCATTTACATCTGAGAGCACTATCTTGTACATGTTTTTATTGTTTCATAGGTATTGCTCTTTTTTGTTTAAATATAATAAGATTTAAACATACAAGGTGTATGGTCCTATAAAAACTGTCATAAAGAACATATCGGTATCAGTCCAAATCAGTATCGACATGTCAAGATCTGTTATCGGTTAGAAGTACCTTCATCTTTAAATCGTTGCTGAAATAAAACGGTAAATGTACAAAAAACACCCTTAAATAGATCAAAGGAACCAGTCATATTGCTTCTGTACCAACACATATAATTATAAGAATACATTTAACATTTAGGGCCAGGACTTTAACGTTTTAATTTTGGTTAAATAATAAAACAAATGTTAATGTATTGAAAAAATTTATTGCATTTTCATATATACATATTATAATCCTAAGCAGGAACCTTTTTACTTGTTGTTTTTTTATACATGCGTAAATCTAAAGAGCAAGTGGCATCACAGGTGTTGGTCCACTGAGGATGTTCAGGCTTATAAGCCATGGCTCGTTTACCATGCAGGCAAGAGGAACTTTCCTGGAATTTTTAAATTCCAATTTCGGGCCAATGAAATGCAGTGACTTATATGATGTCAGCGCATCTACCAGAGGCGGAAGTCTGAAGCAGAACAAACATGGCTGCAACTGGATTTGGTAAGAGTTTGATTTATCAGATAACTCTGTGAAACAAATAAAAAGTATGATATGTCTCAGCTACTACTGCTGCTGCGATTGGCTAAAAACTCAGCATGGGAGGCAGGTACCCAATCAGCTTGAAGAATGTACAGAATTGTACAGAATGTCCCTCCCTTTTGTAAACACTTTCTATAGGTGGCTTCCATGATGTGTAGACTTCAAATTGAACTACATATCAATCTGGTTTATGCCAGCTTAATTAATCCATCTGAATACCCTTAAATGAATATGGATGTCTAAGGTACAGTGGAATTGCATCTGTAAATGCTATCCAAATACTTCTGTAATTAGGAAGGAACTAGAACATAGATTGTTTATTTTTGTAACTGGCTTAATGAGAAACAGCAGCCTCTGTGGTAATATTTTAATTACACTAATTGCTGCACATTGAATATTAATTGTTAAGATTTATGCATACAGTAGCTGAACTGTCATGGTTCTGTAAGTATTAATAACTAAACTTTATCGTCTGTTCACAGCAAATGTAAAACTCTTATAAGGCAATATTTTTTATATATAAATCTTTTTTACATTATTTAGTAGGAGGAATTGCGGTATGATTAATGTTTACCAACTGTTCCCTCTTTTCATAAAAGTAGCAGCTAAATGATTATAATTATTAACAAATTTGATGGTTGAACAACCTAAATAATCAATTAAATACAAGAAATATATATGCTAGTGCTCATGAGATTAATTATTTTATAATTGAGGAGCAAAAAATGGTTTTTAGAAATGAAAACTTTTTTTCATTCTTATTTATTAAAATGTAATAAATAAATAAATCACAACTTAAAGAATGTGCCAACACTATTACTATTACTCCTTCAGCACAGGGGCCAGGGCCAGTTTTTAGAACTGCCCATAGGGCCATTACTTGAAGGATTGCAACAGTTACCCTTCATTTTTTTTTAGGGATTATTTTTCTTTTCTTTATATTCTGAAGTATTGCTATAATTATTTTAATTAAACAGAATGGGTCAAGTGATGAGTTTAAAAAAAGTTGGTGGTTAATTTAGCAACCCCAGGTTGTCCAGTTCATTCATGCCAAAGTCCCCAATGTGAATGAAATAACACTGTGAATGAATGTGATCTAGGCCTTCTCTGTAGGGACCCCTAATGGAGAAGAAGTGCAGGAGCCCTGCAGGGGCCTCAGGGCCAGTAGCGGGGCCCTGTCCTGCAGCTGCAGCAGCAGCAGCAGCAGCAGCAGCAGCACCACTCGCAGTCTAGCAGCGGGACTCCAGGTTCTCACTTCCCCAGCTGCTGACGTCAGCTGGCAGCCTGGGCTGAGCTCGCCGCTCCGGACATAGCGCCGAGGAAAATGCTGCTCTCCGTACCGCCAAGGGCAGGAATCAACCCCTACAACGGCTACAACAGCAGAAACAGCAAAAAGGTAAAGGCTTTCGGGCTTTTCACTCCTTTCGCTTCTGGCTTCTACTCCCCCCCCTCTCTCTCTCCCCCCCTCACCCCTCGTCCTCCTCCTCCTCCTGCGGGGCAACAAACCCGCGTCCGTCGCGACAAAATATGGATCTTGTGACAGTGAGCCGCCGTGTCCTTGAAAAGCTAAACGCTCTGAATTGAACTTAAATAAAAGATGGAGTAAATGTGGAGCGACTCCCCGGTCCGCTGAGTGTCAAAGCTGGGTTTGAGGAGGTGGTGGGGAGGTGGGGGGGTCTACCGGAGGCTCCTGTCACGCTGGACCCCCGCTGCTGCTGCTGCTATCTGGGAGTATTTCTATGTGTGGCAGACACAGCGGGGATGTGGATCATCTCTGCTCGCTCCTATCAGAAACTCTACGGCGGGGAGCAACTTTTGCGTGGGGAACTCCACGGTGCTGGGATAGCGCGTCCGTGGCTGGATGTGTTTATGGAAGTGGGGGTAGGGAGAGCGGGAGGGGGGAGAATTTAGAACAAAATCTCTCCGTGGGCTCTGGGACAGAAATATGTGCTGGTAGATTCAGATCTTGGTTATTTCCGCCGCCGCGTGAGTTAGCTAAGTTTTTTTTTTAACTTTTACTTTTTTCCTCGTTTCCAATCTGAAAGCGGAATATGCCCCACCCCTCGAAAAATCCCACCAGACTATGATGACTACATTCCCAGATTATGAATTCCCTGCTCATGTTCATTTATGACTGTGACTGTTTTTATGTAACATCAGGAATACAACGTTGAATTAAAATTAAAACGTCAACATTGATTTAGTTACAGAAGTGAGAAATATTTGTCTTTCCATTTTAAATATGAATCTTACAGAAGAGGATTAGGGACACTGAATTTTTTTTTTTAAACTTGACTAATTTTTGAATTTTATTTCAGTTTAATATGTGGGAAAAAAAATCAGAATTCTGACTTTAATTTCAGAACTCTGAAATTTTTTCTCAGAATTCTGACTTTTTTAAAATCAGAATTCTGACTCTAATCTTAGAATTCACACTTTAATTTAATCTCAGTATCCAGACTTTAATCTCAGAATTCAGACTTTTTTCTCAGAATTCAGACTTTAATCTCAGAATTCAGATTTTAATATCAGAATTCTGACTTTAATCACAGAATTCTGACTTTAATCTCAGAATTCAGATTTTTTTTTCAGAATTCTGACTTTAATCTCTGAATTCTGACCTTTTTCTCAGAATTCTGACTTTAATCTCAGAATTTTGGATCTTAATGTAGATGGGAACCAAGAAGGAAGAGATGTGGGAGCACTTGGCTTCAGGCGACTTTTTATGTGCCCGAGGGGTCCCCGGTGATGCTATTACATTAAAGGAAGAGCAGAAGGTGATCTCTAAACAGACGTGGCTAAGGCTTAATGCTAACATGTTTATTAGCTCTCAGGATTCAGTCAGAATCCTGAGATTAAAGTCAGAATTGTGAAAAGAAAGTCAGAATTCTGACTTTCTTTTCTCATATTACACTGAAATTAAATTTAAATTTTAATCCTCTACCGTAGAATCTTTATATCAGTCATTTATAGAGAATTGTGTTTCTGTGCTTAGTTTTCATTACATACATTTTACTACAGTGAGCTTTTAATACAGTCAAGCACTGAGGCTTAATTCATGTTTTTTTATGTACGTTTTATATATATTCACAACCTTTTTGTTTTGTACCACTTCAAAGAAACAAAGCAACAAACAATATTTTATTAAATATTATACATTAATATTTAGAGTGAAAAAAACATTTTAAAAATAAAAAAAAGGGGGAAAGCACTACTCTAAAGGCTTATATTCACAATTCAAGGCTTTATGGTTGGATGAGGATCGAATCTTGGACAAGATTTCAGATTTCCATGATCATTTACTGTATAATAGATGATATTATCGAATTTATTAGTTCAAATCACTGGGTTTTACCTGCTGTCTACTGTTTACGCCAATGTTTTAGAAGAGGGTTAAACTTAATCCCACAATTTGTGTTTTTCCTGATACATATCAATGCATCTTGTTTTATTTATCTGTCTGTCTGTGTGTCTGTCTATACAAAAGCAAGAAGTGATAACTGAAGTCTAGCTTTACATTTCTTTTTCTTTATTAATCTCACTTGATACAGTAAATAGCACATTATTGAGGCTGGACGATATGGCCAAAACATCACATTTTATTTCCTAATTTAGTTTGATATCATTTTGATATCAAGATTAAGAAATATAAAAGCTTTAGAAATATGCCTGCTCAAACTTATAACAATTATTTTGCCATATTTAAAAAAATCCTCCAACATAATATTACATTATAGAAATATTAGCTATAAAAACAACACATGGAAAGCCAGTCAGGGACAAATGCTGTATCCATAGATTGTAATGGTTTTTGAAATATCGAAAATGTGTTTCAAAGTGATATCATTGATATTAAAATAACTAATATTGCAATATCCATTAATATTGAAGTATTATCCAGATTTAATTGAGGCTCATCTAAAACGCCATCTCTGATGATATTTTTTCGTACTTATCTGTGAAGCAGAACACAGTGCACACCTTAAGTTTGACTTCAAATTGAATTTAAAATAAATAATAACATAGCCCCTATATAGCGTCATAATTATTTCAAAACGCCCGCAAGCAAAATAAACATGCTCACATGTATGTTAAACTAGTTCTGCTCATGGTTTATCTACCGCCACATAACAAATTCACACATGCGCCAAAAACTGCCGCTTCAAGAGGAGAAAATCGCTCTCCGCATGTGCTAGCACCTCCCGCGCACGCTTGGGATCGTGCTCGGGATCTCACAGCATGCACGATTTTCTATCCAGTGATAGAAAATGTGACACCATACCCCTGAAGCATATTTTAAATCTTACGCTGACAATGAAGTATTTTTTCTTTTTCTTAAAACTAAGTCATTTAGATATAGTGCAACTCCACCTGACTATTAGACTAGACTAGTACTAGTTGCACTTTTATCCACGTGCTACATACTGCATTTCAACCTACACTTGTTTCTTTTAAGGATGTTTTACATTTCTGTTTATTACATGCACTTATTTTTAATGAGTTCAACATTACTTTCACAGTTTAGGTGATTGTTGCATGTGAAAAAAATAGAAAAAAAACTGAAAATAAATACTGGACTTAATCTGAAACATTTACTCATTAACAGCAATATTTTAAAGCAGTTAGCATCAATTGGCACCTATAATAGTATCAATATAGCAGACCATGACCATTTTATTTTACCACTGATAACTAAATCATGCAGGAATTTGCATGTATAAGCCAGTTTTTTGTCGGTTTGCAGCTGCTCAGTTTGCTTATGGCTTGGCTCTGCCTGCAGTGCATGTTTTTGTGTGGTCATACACATAACACATCATCCCTGTGGACAATAATTTAATTAAACATAGCATATGGTGACCTTCCATTCATTGGACCTACAGTAAGTAAGCCCCCTCCCAACCCCTATGTTTTCTGCTCTCTGATGGCTCCTGTGATCTCCTGGACCGTGAGAGGTATTTTAAAAATGTATATCAGCATATTGTCTTTCTTTGATCTTTGGCTTTGCCTAGCAGCTCATCCTCACAGATCCTATTTGTGCCTATCAGCAAAAAACCAAATACTCTTGTTTTTTTTTTTTTTTACACTCTATTGGAAAGCTTTTCATTCGTTCTATTTAACTGATATTCCATTTTGAATAATTGAATTTATTTATTTTGATGTATCATTTCAAACATTAAAAAAGAACAAAAGAAAAAGAAAGACAAAAAGAAAAATATGAAACATTTAAACAAAAATGGTAATAAACAAACACAGACGATTACAGCGACTTTAAAACTTTAGTATTGAGAACTTAGTATACATATAAACTGCATTTAGTTTCTGTATAAAGACAGACAATGTTTAACTCACTGGAGTCAAATGAACCGTCTAATGATGCTCCTCATAAGAGAGTTCAATATGAGTGTGTAGCTGGTCTATAGATGTGGGCACCTGCAGGTTTATCAGTAAATCCTCCATTTTCTATTTAGTATTATAAAAATAGTTATTCAATTTCTTCCTGACATTAAAATATTATAGGGAAAGAAGATTTTCAATAATCACACGGCATTTTGATTCACTTCTTATTCTTTTTGAGTATTTGTGCAGCAGGAACTGAGCTAATTAATTCCTTAAAACTGCATTTATAAAGACATGCTTAAGAGAAGAAGTTTTCCTGTCACGATATGATCCAAACATTTGTTCAGATGTGAGCCTTTACTGATTTGCTTGAGCAAATTGAAATCTCACAGATCACACGCAGTGATTAGAAATCTGTTTCTGTTGTAGCTAACACCTTTTTGTGTTAATGAAGAAGAGTTCCCCACATTTATGAAAACAAGATAGACCTGATGGAGAGGCAGATTTTTCTAGACCTCTGTTGAATTAAAGAATGCATGAATCTTAAACACACGGTGTGTAAAACTAAGAAATTAATAAAATGTTGCAGAAATATCGAAAGATAAAAGAACAGAATATTAGAAAGGCAAAACATGAAGTGATTTGATTTTGAAACCTCTGTCCTGATGTGACACCTACTTTGTGGAATGACTATTACCAGTAGTGGTTTTTGAAATGGGCATTATGGCTCATTACCCCAGAGCTCTGTTTTGCTAAGGGGTATACTGATAGAGGGATTTGTCTCCTTCTTAATGTGTTAGTTTTACTGTTTCTATATTCTTTTTGGTCTTTTAAAATTTTTATTTGCTGCTCTTTGACTTAAAGTTCAAAAAGAAAACACATACTTACAGTTTCTCGTTTGATGTATGTACAAAATTGAATATATCACAAGTGAAAACATTTCCAGCATATGATAGCAGACAACGCTTATTTCCTCATTGGGTCACATGACCCACTGAGACGCATGCCGTGACGAGTCAGGAAGTAGTCATTTTACATAGCGAGACAATGTTTATTTAC